TTCGGGTCCCCTCCCACGGTGGGAGCTTTTCTGTCCTCTCAATAAATCCTGCTTTAAAACACACAACAAAACAAACAAAAAAACAAGACTCATCAGGGTGTGTCCCGTGGAGACTCGGCAGCCATTTTGATCTAAGACAGAAGAATTTGAGCATCTAAAAGAAAAATGACTGCAATTGATTGAAACCCACCAAATGTATCAACATCTATAATTTCATAGCGATACTATGCAGAGGCAGGGGCTTCTCCTAGGTTCAGCTAAACATTTGGACTCATAAAACTCTCATGGGCCACACTTGGCTCCATCTACTCAGAAGCCTTGAGCGCTACATCACAGCTTGCTGTGAGGACAGCATTAGGCATTCTTCTGTGGGTGTCCTGGTTGCCGGGCCTGCTGTAACCTACACAGCTGTTGGGGAGGTATTTTCTTTTCAGGTGACACAGCTTGGGTGCAAGAGGATGTAACCCACACCAGGCAGGAACAGGAATCTTCTAGGCTTAAACCTTCCCACTCTACAGGTGCCAAGGTCTCTTGTAGCTTCCGGGGTTTTTGCAAGGGACATGTCCAGTTCCAAGAATCACCTCACTCAGGGGAGTACAGAGTATAGCATCCCTGCTAGGTATTTATGGTTTATTTACACGTCTTCCCATCTGGATGTAATTTACCAATCAGGCATCATTTTTACCATAACCCATGTTGCCATATTTGGTATTCTTCCTCTTGTGAGACTTTCGAGTAAAAGTTCACCAAAACTCAGATTCTTAGAAAGTTGAGACAAATTGTGTTAACCTCCTACCCTCATACTGAAACGAAACAAAACACACCAATAAACAGACCTAAACTCATTTGTTACCATTGGAGATGGCTATGACATCAACTCTTTCATAGAAAAAAATGATAAAATATAAGTGGAAGAATCAGACATCTCTCTTATGTATGAACTTTATGTCAGAGCAACTGAATTGTTGATGAAAGTTCTTCCTTTTGAAGAATCTCAGCTTTAAAAGTGCAGAATAAATGATAGAGTTAGAAAAAGTACGTTTTTAAACCCCTAATGAAATCTTGGATCCAGGTAACAGTTAGAATTGGCTGCTGAAATCATTCAGTGAAAGGTGTTGATAGGGAATACTGTCATCGGGGATCATGTTGGCAATTCCTGAATCTAGAAATCTGTCCTAGCATTATCCTGTGCTGTGAACCTAGAGGAAGCACCTAGCACCACTTACACATCCACCATGGAGAACAGTACGAGCGTTCCTCAAAAACCTCAAAATAGAACTACCACATGATCCAACAATTCCACTGCTGGGGAGATAGCCAAAAGAAGGGAAGTGAGTCTACCAAAGAGATACCTGTCCTCCTGTGTTCACTGCAGCACTGACCACACCAGCTAAGATACAGAATCATCCTGTGTGCCCGTCAACGGATCAGTGAATAAATAAAATGTGGCATATGTATACTCAATGGAGCATTATTCAGCCATTAGAAAAAGGATGACATCCTGTCATTTGAAGCAACTTGGATGGAACTGGAGGCCATGATGTTAAGTGAAATGAACCAAGCGCAGAGACAAATATCACATGTTCTCCCTTGTATGTGGGAGCGAAAACAGTGGATCTCAAGAAGATAGAGAGTAGTTGGTGATTCTTGGAGGTTGAGAAGGGGAGGGGGAGGGAGAATGAAGGTGGGGAAGAACATAAACATATGTATTACTGCTGAAATGGACACTTAAACATGGTGACGGTGTCAAATTATGTATGTATTATCGCAATAAAAAAGAGTGGAAAACAAATTGAATCTGACTAGTCAAGACCTTAAATCTGACTGCTAATTTACAGGAAATTCAGGGGACAGAGAGAGGGACAGTGGCACCCCATAGAAGCAATAGGCCAAATCCAGAATTTGGGACATTTTGAAGCACAAGGGGGCCTGGTTTCACCAGCAGATCCATGCCGGGGGGTGGGGAATGGAGGACCAGAATGATCTAGAATAGTAAACTTAACTGACATTGTGGGATTTTGTATGATTCTTGAATTAAACTTTGGCTTGTAAAAAGACATTTTTGAGACTGAGTAGTTTGGATAATGACTGGGCACTAGATGTTATTAATTGTGATTTAAATATTTTGTATGTAACAATGGCAGTGTAGGGAATCAAACCCGACCTCTGTCCTCATATGGGCTGGGCCGAGAATTACATAAAATAGATTAACAGGAGAGCAGCATGCAAATTAAGATAAATTTTTTAAAAAATTATCTGACTTGTTTTTAAAATGGACAGACTGTCTACATTTGCAGTGTACAACAGGAGATTTTGAAATATGTATACATTGCAAAATGAGTAAATGAGGCTAATTAACGTGTGTATTATCTCACGTACTTATCTTTTGGTGGTGAGAACACTTAAAATCCAGTCTCAGCAATTTTCATGGCTACAACACATTGGTATTAACTATCATCACATGCATACAGTAGATCTCTTGAGTTTATTTCTCTGGCTTAACTGAAAGTTAATTTAAGTTTTATGTGACACTGGAGCCCTTATAAGAAAATGGAGACCCAGAGAAGCAGCGCGATGGTAATATATCGAATTGAACAAATAAGAGCGAGTTATGAAAAAGCAACTAAATTGTGTGGCGAGGCTAAGGAAGGAGAATTGCTTGAACAGGGTCTGTCTGTGCAGAGTTCTCTTGGTCTTGACTTTCCATCCTTGATGATAAGAATGCTGCTTTCCTTCTGGTGTCGGGAAGGCATCTTTCATGTGACAGTCTCATCCCTCTGCTTTCAAGAAACCGAAGGCCGCAGTGATCTTGTACCTGCTGGCTTGTTGGTTTGTAGAAGTGCCTTTAACTTAAAATGGTCAGTATGCCAGAACAGTATATTTTGAGGTCAGATGTTCTGTCACCCTTTATAAAGCAGCAAAGCTAGGTAAAACAGATATCGCCCTACCTATACAGAGATTGTTAGATAGGCATGTGCACATCTATCTTTCTGCCTGCTTCTGTCTCCACAGCTACAGATGTATGCTGAGGTGTTTACAGAGATATCTGAGATTTGCTTTAAAATGCTCAGACTTTGAAGAGAGTCCACAAAACAAGACTGGCAGATACTGACAGTCTGTAAAGTTGGGTGATGCGGGGGTCATGCTATTCTCTCTACTTTTAAATGCTTGAAAACTGTCATAAGTGTTGTCTTAAAGCCCTTGTATTTTTACAGTCATACACGATTATAAAAATGGTGATTTTCTCCTACCAAATTGTCAAAGATTTTTGACAGTGTGGAGGGTGGGGGTAAGTATGGATCCTAGTACGTTGCTGGGGATGTCTTCTGGAAAACAGGCTGGCAATGACGGATGTTGATGATATTTGACCCAGTGATTCTTCTTGTGGGACTCTGTACCGAGGACATGATTGTGAATATCAGAAGCTCTGTACAGAGCTGTGCGCTTCAGAGTGATTTTTGGTTTTGAGGTTTCCAAGTAACCTGAATGTGCGACAACAGAAGGACAGTCAGTTGAGTGGTGGTGCGCCATGTGATTACATATTTTGCAGCTGTTGTAAAGGAAATGTTTGGTCTTTACCTACTGCTGGAAGATGCCTGTAACAATATTAATTGAAAAAAGAGGTCAAGATTGGACCTATGTAAGTGATATGCATTTATGAAAAGAAAAGTGCTTGGAAAAGACGACCGGAAGGAAATAAGCTTCTGTGTTTCCCAGTTTGGAAATTGCAGCCCTGAATTGGGCAGATACAGACCCAGAGGCTTGTCGAACCAAAAATACCTTCGTTGGTTCTGATTGAATTCTGGACTCATGGTGAATAAAGTCTTTTTCTATTTGTCTTTGTTTTCCAGGTTTTTTTTTGAGTTGGAGTCTCACTCGGTCTCCCAGGCTGGAGTGCAGTGACACACACTCACGGCCACCTCAGTTCACTGAGCTGGGCTCAGGCAGTCCTTCCACCTCAACCTCCTAAGTAGCCGGAACTACAGGCACGCCTTATCTCGCTCAACTAATTTTTTGATTTATTGTAGAGATGAGGTCTTGCCAGGTTGCCCAGGCTGGTCTCAAACTCGTGAGCTCAGGCGATCCCCTCACCTTGACCTCCAAAAGTGCTGGGATTACAGGCTTGAGCCACTGTGCCTGGCTATTTTCCAGGTTTTTAAGTCATGAATATACATTAATTTTTTCCCATGTATCTGTTTTTCCAGCCTTCTAGCGATATAATGAACCCACCATAAAATTCACCCGTTTTAAGAGTAGTTTTATGTATTACTGAAAATGTAAACAGTTGTACGACCACTACCACAATGAAGTCTCAGAACACTATTGCCCTGTCAAGTCGCTCGTAAATATTTTCAAGTAGATTTTTAGAGCAGTTTCTGATTAACAGAAAAGTTGTGAAGATGACACAGAGAGTTCCCATATATCTTGCTTCCAGTTTCTCCTATTAGTAACATCTTCTATTAGCATGGTACAGTTGTTACAGTTTGCAAACCACGAGGGACACATTGTTGTTTATAAAGCTTTTACCTTATTCAGACTTCTGTGTCTTAAATCTCATGTCCTTTTTCTGCCCTGGGATACCATGCATGATATGACATTCCATTTAGTTGTCATGTCCATGTATTAATTTTTAACTGGAAAATAGTAGAATAAACTTTACTTTAAAATTCTCCAAATGTATTAGCAATCCATTTTTAACTTGGTCTCCTTGTTGTTGACTTGTGACTTGTTGGCAAAGACCATGTCTTATACTGGTTATATTCCTTACTGTTCATAGCATGGTCACTTACAAATTCACTAAATAAGAATCTGCTAATTTATTGACTGGCCCTCAATAACTGGATGGAGCAGAAGGGAGGGAGGGAAGGACAAGGAGGAGAAGAAAAGGAAGGAGGAGAGTCCTTGCCTACACATAATTTAAAACCTCAGAGCTTTGGGGGACCTTTGGTTTCTGCTGCTGTTTCATGTAAGAGAATTCTTTTGACTTTCGTGCTTCCCAGGTTGGAGCTTGCAACCCTGAATCGGGCAGATGCAGATCTGGAGACATGTCGGACCCAGATCAGCAAGGATGTCATTGCCCTTCTGTTGAGAAATCTTACCAGCAGTGGCCACCTGTCATCCCCAGTCGAGAGGAGAATGGGTGCTGTTTTCAAGAAACAGTTTCTGTTGCTGGAAAATGAAATAAAAGAAGAATATGATCGAAAAATGGTGGCACTGACGGCCGAATGCGACCTGGAAACCAGGAGGAAGACAGAAAGCCAGTACCAGAAGGAGATGGCGGCAATGGAGGAAGCAGAGGAGTTACTGAAGCGCGCCAGTGAGAGGGTAAGACGGCTCCGAAAGGGAGGCATGTGCTGGCCTCTCTCCTTCCTCCCGGGGAGTCGCCCTCGTCCCTCTACCCACGCATCTGTCCGTTCAGTTCCTCCATCCGTTCGCCCATCACCCATCCGATCGTCCGCCTGTCTAACCACCCACCCGCCATTCTCCTTCCAACATTTCATCTTCCATCTGTTCAGCTGGACACTCATTCAACCCCCATCCATTCACCCGTCTACCCACTCACCCGGTCACCGGCTCACATGTTCATTCATCCATCTACCCCCCACCCACGCCTTCACCCACTCACCCATCTGTCCGTCTATCCATCCGTCCGCCCACCATCCATGCGCCTACCCATCTGTCTCTCCATGCATTCATCTGTCCGACCACCCAGCCATCCTTCCAGCTGCCCGTTTATTTACTCACCCATCTCCTCATCCACCCATCTATCGTCCACCCAACCACCCATTCATTCACCTATCCCTGTACCCCTCCACTCATCTCCCCGTCAGTCTAACCATCCACTGACTCATCCATCCGTCCTTCCTGCAAACCCTTCCACTGATTCCTCCAGCTGTTGGTCTGCCTTCTGTCCATCTACCCATCCAGCCATCCACCCTCTCATTCTTCATCCTTCTCTCCACCGTTCATTTATCCGTCCGCTGATTTGTCCATCCATCCGTATGTCCACCCATTCACCCATCTGTCCGCCCATCCATCCACTCAGCCCCCAACCATCCTCTCGCCCACCTCTTTGTCCATCTCCCACCCAGCCACCCTCATACGTCAATCCCTTCATCCACCCACGCACCATCCGTTCATCCACGCCTCTATCCATCTACACACCTGTTAATCTATTCAGCTACCACCTATCTAAACATCCGCCCTTCTGTTCCTTCATTCGTCCCTCGGGGATTCACTTAATATGTGTTTATTGGTCACTCACTGTCTCTCAGGCACTGGGGTAGTTAGTGAAGGTACAGGGAACAATGAGAAACGGTGCTTGCGTTCAAGGAGGTCCTAGACTGATGAAAGATCTTCACACATAAAAATGAGTCACCCTTCATCCATTTATAATAGAGGTGTGTTCCTGGTTCCATGGAAGGTCCTGGGGAGAGTAGAAAGGCTTCATTCCTAGAAGAGCATGTCTGCAGAGGGCACGGTGTACAGACGATTGGTGTGTCAGGGTGCATATGCCTCCCTCTGCACTATGGTCTGTCGGATCATGGTTTTCTCCCGAACCGGCTCTGGAGCCAGAACGGACATGGACTCACGGTCTTGTAAATTCCAGCTCTGCTCCTGAAGGCCTTGATCAGCCTCTGCAAGCCCAGCGATCCCCACCTCTCTGGGAATCTGAGGGAAGTAGTATGGGAGAAGCAGCCACCCAGCGCACGGGCTGCAGGCAGCTCTCAGAACATAGTGCTCAGTTCTGAGCGTTCTGGTCTTTCAGGTTGGTCAGAGATCAGATCCCATTATTCCAAAATGTGTGTCAGTGGCTGTCTTGAAAGAATCAGAGCTTGCCCCACATGTACCAAATCAAGCTTTCGTTCTGTCTTCCTCTGTGAGTGAGGTGGTGTGTTCGGCTCTTATGACTTGAGCGTACACATGCTGTTCTGAACATCTGTCCTAGGGAGGTCTAACCACTACTGAAGAACAGCTTCAGAACTCAGCTTCCATTCCCCAGACTGTTGCCATCTGCAGAATTCCCCTGAAGTAAATCAAAAGCTCTCCCGTTGACAGCTCATGACTTACAGGTGGCCCTCTGTGGTCAGACGTAGGCTGAGCCGTGAAAGAAAGATGGGAGGTGCTCACTGTGTCATTCCTCTCTGCTCCCTTGCTCCCGGGGCCTCCTCTGCCTTCAGACCATCTCATTTGAGGGTGTGGCTTGTGTACTGTGTGGCTCCTGTATTCATTTCCTGTGACTGCCATGACAAATTGCCCTAAATTTGGTGGCTTACAACAGCAGAAATGTGTTCTCTTGAAGTTCTGGAGGCCAGAAGTCCGGACCAAGGTGTCAGCAGGGCTGTGCTTCCTCCAAAGTCTCCAGGGGAGGATCTTTCCTTGTTTGGCCCAGCTTCTGGTGCTCCCTCTCTTCCCTGGGTCACGGCTGCATCACCTTCATCTCTGCTCCATCTTCCTGTGGCCTTCTCCCTGGTGGCCCTGTCATCTCTATTTCTGTCTCCTAAGGGCACCCGCCGTTGAATTTAGGACCCATCCAAATAATCCAGGATGATCTCAAGAACCTTACCTAATCACCAGAGACCCTTATTTCCAATAAGGTCACATCATGGGTCCTGGGGTTAGAACCTGGATGTGTCTTTTTTGGAGGCTGGGGAACACCATTCAACCCACTGCAGCCTCACTGACTGGCTCTGTCTTTGACGCTCCATCCATGACTGTGCTGGTCAGCACCAACTTTGCCTGAGCCAGGCACTTAGGCACTGTGCCATGATTCAGCCCCTAAACGATCTCATTATCACTCTCTTTCTCTCTTTTCCTAAATTTGTTGTAATCTTTTTTCCTATAAAAATAATGCATGCTCAACAAGGGAGGCTTGGAAAGTACTCCAAGGAGCTGGTCAGCAGATGAGGACCCGTGAGCTCAATCTTGTTCAACCTGTGTCTGTATGGCTCATGACTCTAGAATAGTTTTTACATTTTCTAAAGGGTTGTTGAAAACAAAGAATATGTGACAGAGACCTCAGGTGGCCTTCAGAAATACTAAGGCTAATACTAAGGGCTAAAATACTTACTTAGCCCTTCACAGAAAAGTTTGCTGAGTTCACTTCCACAGCCTAAAAGGAAAAACCCTGGAAATAAAAAAAGTAAACCCATCCCACCCTTTTGTGGCAGAGGATCATTCCTTTGACCCAGTATTGAGTTCCTACTGTATGCCTGACCATGGAGGTACAGGCATGGCTCAGGTGGCCTTCACGCCCGTCCTCAGATTCTAGCATACATGTTAGCCTTTGACTTTATACACTTTTTTAAAACAAAGTAAGGCCTGTGCAGTTCATATAATTGTATGACAGGGGACCAAAAAAAAAACAACAACCCATAATTATCTTTTGGAGGACGGGTTCCTTGTTGTACACTGAGAATTTGTTCCCCTGGATCAAACAGTCAACCAAAGTTTTTATCTAGAAGTTTTGAGAAGGTTGTTTCACAGTTTGCAGAAGAAACCTCTCACGTTGGGGCAGACAGGTGACTGGTTCTTCCACTCTGTCAATACACCTGCCCACACTGTGCTGAGTGTTCTGCAGTTTTTGATCAAAAACCGGAATGATCCCTGTGCCTCACCCTCCCACTTCACCCGATCTCACCTCGAGCGACTTTTTTTTTGTTTGTTTCTTTGGATGAAAAAAGTCCTCAGAGGGAAATGGCTTGCAGATATAAAGAGGTAAAACAGAAAACAGCAGAAGCACCAAAAGGCATAAAAATTGATGAGTCAGAAACTGCTGAGCAGTGGAAAAAGTGTCTCGATAGGTGGGTTGCATCGCACAGAGAGTACTCTGAAGGTGGCTGAAGCTTAAGCATGTAAGAATAAATACACAATGTTTTGTCAGCAAATTCTAGTTTTTTGGAGGTCCCCCCCTTGTATTTCTTTCTTGTTTTCACTTTACATCGCAGCAAAAATATTTTCTGACTTTATTAAATGCTCTTAAACCATAAGATGTGTAACAATAACAGTTCGTTCTTATTTCCCATCCATTGTGTGTCGGGCATGGCCCTATGCACGTGCCATCCACCTTCTCGTTAAATGTTCACGCCAACTCAGTGAGGTCGGGATTGAGAGGACCCCACTTTTACAGGTGAGGAAACTGAGCTGCAGAGACGTTCACCTGCCTGGGGACACACAGAGGGAGCCGAGCCTCACGCCCAGGCGGGGTGCCCCTCACCACTGGGCAGCATTGCCACCGTGTGCAGTGGCAGGTTCTGTCTCCCGCTGTCATACCTCGTGCGCCCCTCCTGCTGGGCAGCTCGGATGTTTCCGTGCCTTTGCTACCAAAATACGGCCTGGGGCAATGCTTTTTTTGTGCAGGGAGCCTGAGGACAGGATGCTGGGCCTGTGCCCTGCTTCCGCCTGTCACGCAGTCCCTCTCTTCCTGGACTTGCCCTCTCCAGGGCTTCTCTGCCGCCTCTCTCCTGCCCCCACCCCCATGCCTGCTGGCGTGCGGTGGGTGGGCACTGTCGCTCTGAATCTCCGAAGTCACCCTGTTCAGAGACCAGCTGCCTTATTTGCCCCAGTCTGCTTTCCAAGAATAGAACTAGTTCCCTTGCAGACCGTGCAAGCCACTCCGTCTCACAAAACCACCAACTACGTTATAATCATCTGTCATGTGTCGTCGTCGTCTTTAAATAAAACACATGGAAATATTTGGGATGTATCCTTCCACCAAGAGTCAGTTTTCAAAAAGAAAAGCGACATCAGCCGTGTCGGCTTTTGTGAGTCAGGTTGAAGAATTCCAGGGTGGTCATCCCTCAGTCCCCAGGCGGAGTTGGCTCCAGGACTCTCCTCCCCCTACTCCCCACAGATCCCCAAACCTACCAGTGCTCAGGTCCCTGATATCAAATGGTGTCATGGTTGTGATAACCCACACACATTGTCCCATATACCTTAAATCGTCTCTAGATTACTTTTAATACCGGATGCGATGTAAATGCGATGTCAGTAGATGTTTTGTATTGTATTGTTGAGGGAATAATGACAAGAAAAAAGTCTCAATCGGTTCAGTACAGACACAGTTATCCTTTTGTGTTGAATATTTTTGATCTTCACGTGGTTATATCTATGGATGTGGAACCCACAGATATGGAGGACTGACTCATAAATATAGAGGTGAAATCTGTTCAGATTTTAATGCCTTTGTAATTCCCTATAGTTTTCAAAGCGTTTCGTCACTGAGACACCCTAGGGAGAGTGTTGCAGAATACAGACACAGAGGTGGGTTGCTTGGGTTTCAATCCGTGCTCTGTTTTTCCAGAAAGCCATTGTTCAGTCACCCTGGGTCTCCTCTCCTCATCCTTAAAATGGGTCTGACCATGATGCCTAAGGTCTTGGAGGGCTGCTGTGAGAACACGTCAGTGAATACTTGCTCCACTGCTGGCATGGTGTCCACCCTGTGTGTTTGCTATGATTCATAATATAATGTAACTTGTAAAGAAGTTCATGGCTAGAACAGAGGACATGAAGCATTTCTGTTTGGAGATGGTGAAAACGGAGGCGGGAAGAAATGATTTGCGACCTAGCTTCCTGCAACCAACCCCAGGAAGTTCAGGACTGTGTCCCTCCTCTGGGATCTGTCTACATCTGGCCCCTTCCCGGAGGCTGCCCAGCTGCTTACGAAGAAGCCCTGCGTGTATCTTGCCTTGGGAATCTTTTGTCTTAAGGGAGAAGGTTCCTGAAGCGCAAGAACGCTCGTATTTTAATCATTTCTGCTGGACTTATTTATATAAGACATTTTTACAATTTCCTGTCCTGCTAAATTGAGAGTAATTTAGTACAGTCATAATGTCCATCACATTGCCGATGTACATTAGAGTCAACGTTATGCCTCGCAGGTGCTCTAGAGAGCCTGACACAGGCCTGTGCTTCTTAAACTGGAATTTAGGGACTGTCCCCTAAGGTCCGTGCCCCTGGTACTCCACAGGACAAGTTGTCTTCTAGGTGTTTGCAGCCATACAGTACATGTGCCTTATCTCCCTGAAAAAGTCAGTTTTGAGGGGAGGTTCGATAGGGAGTTGGGGGTGAGTGATGATTATTTTAATATTCCTTTAAGATGCACATTGTGCAATAAGGTTTAAAATAGAAAACTTTATATAAGAACACCGGGGTTTCTGCCTTCTCTCAAATGATGGGAAGATTTGGCCATGTTGCATCCATATTTCTGCAGAGCCCCTTTTGTGGACTGCATGGTGGTGGCCCCCTAGGCAGGGTTTACTCTCTGCACTTTGCCCCAGTCCCCAGTAGGCCCTAGTGCCTCCTACCAGGCATCTTCCCTTGTTTCCATACAATCCCTCCCCTTCTTGGCAGGCCTGAGGGTGTGTATCCACTGCTTGAGGGCTTAGTTTTCTCATCTGTGCCACAGGAGGTTGAGCTAGCTGAGGGGTTGAATGCATTTCTGCAAGACTCTGAACTTTTCTTCATGGGGGAAGTGGGTACAGGGGTCCCATTCACATTTATGTTTGTGACACAAATATATCATTGCCTCATACCTTCTTCTTCAGCAGAAATGTCATCCTATACAAGGACAACATGTTTTATTTACATGTGTCTGTGCTTTTCGTCTTGGCTGTCAGAAGTTAAGTGGATTTTACCTCATATTTCATGTCTGTGAATTGAAATAAATTGAGGTTTGGGGCCTGACGGATGAACTGACCCAACTGAGCACCAGCTTGTCACTCTGCCGAATGTCCCTGCCGTGCCCAGCGTCAGGGTGTTGGCGAATTGCGGTCTTTGCTTTAGATCAAGTCAGCTGTGAATGCCATTACAATGACTCCGAAAGTCGAATCTAACGCCTTTTTTTCTTTTGGAAAATCAGCGTTTTGAAAAGACTGAACTCTTACTTGGTGGCTGAGGCAAACCGTGAATACGGGGATAGATTCTGGCAGTGTAGCCGGGAGGAGGCACCTGAGAGCCCTTGACTTCCAACCTTACTGGCTGTTTCCCTGCCGTCCTCCCCACGGGGGGTGCTGTGAGCTTGCTTCGGGAGGCTGTCAATAAATAATCCTTTTCTTTCTGGCCCAGACGCCGAAAAGATCGAGCAATAAGTACACAGAGCTGGAGGGACAGAAAAAGATAAAGGTCGGTACGTCACCTTCTAGGGCTTTTGTGCGTCACTGGAAGTAGAGGTGAGCTGGTCGGTGCTCCGGGAAATTAGAAGCCTGGTTGTTTACCGGAAGCAGAGAATTGGGGGCATTCTAGAACATTCGGGCCTTGTTTAGCCCGGAGGAGCTCCGGCCCTTGCCCCCTGCGTCACGGACCCTTCTGCCTTCCCTGGGCCTCTGCTCCGCCCAGCCAGGCGGGACCCCCACCTCCCCTATTCCCAAGCCAGGGCCCTTCTGGCTGTTGGGAAAGGCTGTGCGCCACCTCTTGTACACATGCCCCTTTCCCAGTCTTTGTTCCACCAGCGTGCCCCACGGTCCCTGCCTGTGTGGTTTTAGAGCTTGCAGCCTCAAGATTTGCTTTCAACGCCTTTCCGTCCCTCCTGAGCACAGGTGAGAATTTGGGAAAGGCTCTTACTTTCTCTGCGCTCGAGTTTCTTCCTCTACAACGTGGAGGGTGCGGTTTTCTGTTGGGTGACAAGCCGTCCACACTCAGCAACTTGTCATCTTCGTATCTGTGGTCAATAGTCTGGGCACCGCTTCGCTGGGACCTCTGCTCAGGGTGTCACAAGCTTGAAATCAAGGTCTCAGCTGGCCTGGGTTATCCGGAGCTTGGGATCCTGGCCCAAGCTCATTCGGGTTGTTTGCAGAAGTCAGTTCCTTATAGATGTAGGGTCAAGGCACTTAGCTCCCAGAAGCTTTCCTTCTCTATGGACAGCGTACAACATGGCTGTTTGGTTCTTCAGGGCCAGCAAGAGAGGGTCTCCCTTCAGGACAGGCTCAGTCCTTTCAAGGATCCTCACCTGATGACATCAGGCCCATGCAAGATAGTCTCCCTTTTGATGAACTCAAAGTCAACGAATTAGTTGCCCTAATTACATCGTTAAAACACTTTCACCTTTGCCACGTAATGTTCCCTCATCACAGGAGTGACTGTCCCATTGTAATCAAATGTATGCCCACGCTCAAGGGGAGGGGATTTATGTGGCATGTGTATCAGGGGCTGGAAATCTCGAGGGCCGTGCTAGACTCTAGAACAGCTCCCTCCTAGGACGCGGGTCTCATTGAGACAAGGGGTGGGCACATGCACAAGGAACTCAGCAGACCTGCATTTTTTTCTTTTCCTCACCCGGGACCACATCCCGTGCAGGCCTCTGAGGAAACATTTCTCAACACCTCTTTTGCCTGAAGGATCTCTGCTCAAGCCTGATGGCTGGTATTTTTCTCTGCAGCAGAGCTGAGGATGAAACCACATGTTCTCACTCATAAGCGGACCCTGAGCATTTACCATAATACTGTAAGAAAGGGATTGGCAGTAGCGGGAAACTGCTGGGGGGACTGGGGGGGCACATAATATCAAGAAGGGTGCCTGATCTCACACCAGGTGAAGTGGAGACCAAAGGGAGGCCCGAACTTTACCTGTACGATGTCCACTTGTACACCTAATCCTGAATTGTACCCCACATCTTTAAAATAAAGTAAAATAAAAAGATAGCGGAAATAATCTTGTGAGCCTAACAACACAGTCCATTCATATTCAGGAGATTTCCATTGTTTTAAGACTTTCATTTCTTACGGGCTATTTTCAAGCGGTTTGGTTTGCAAATTTCCACCCCTGTGAATTTTCTGATTTAAGATAGTTCTGGAACACATGAAGATAACAGGGGAGGACAGGTTGGAACAGCATATGTCAGGGCTTGGTAGCTTCATCATTGTCTGCTTGTGCTCTGTGTGTGTGTGTGTGTGTGTATGCACATGAGCATGTGTATTTGTTCTGTGTGCAAGTGTGTGTGGGTGTGTGCATATGTATGTGTGCTGTGTGCATGTATATGTGCTGTGTGTGTATACCCATACTTGTGTCTTGTGTGTGTGTGCTTGCATGTGTACACACCACACACTGGTTGCATGTGAGTGTGCTGTATGTGTATGTGCAAATGCACATTACAATGCACATGCATATGTGCGTGCACGTGTGTGTTCATGTGCACATTGTGTGCACGTGAACTTGTACACACTGTACTATGTGCATGCGTGTGGACGTGCGCGTTCAGCACGTCGGGCTCTTACACGCTGCCTCTTCTCTCTGCAGTCCGCTGTGGAGTATAGCAGCCTTCTGCGGGCCCTCCATGGCCTGGAGCAGGAGCACCTGAGGAAGTCTCTCACTTTGCAGCAAGAGGAAGACTTTGCCAAGGCTCACAGACAGCTTGCTGTTTCCCAGAGACACGAACTACACCGGATCTTTTTTACCCAGATAAAAAGTGCTATTTTCAAAGGAGAATTGAAGCCAGGGGCGGCTAAGATGCTGCTGGAAAATTATTCTAAAATACAGGTAATGCCTCAAATCAGGCTTGCTGAGACGGAAGGGTAATTTTCCTGAATTGTTTCAGTAAATGTCTCCTTCTTCATACTTAAGTCCTTCCTCTTCTTTTGTGCTGTGCACCTATCAACCAGCTTTCTTCTCCATCTATCTTTTGGCGTGTGGGTGAGTTTCCAGTAAGCAGGGCAGATGGTGGCTTGGAGCACCAGCCTTGAACTCAGGCTGAATTCGATTTGAATTCCAATTCCACCACCCTTTTGCTGTGTGAACTTGAGCAAGTTACCTGACTTCTGTTAGCCTTTTTTTTCTCACCTGTAAAATGGACGTCGTAGAGTGCCTGTACTCACAGGGGTGTGATAAAGACTTAATGAGCTCATTCATGGAAAGTTAGTGCTTGGGACATTATATGTTTAATGTATATGGCAGTTAAAAATATATATACAGACACAGAGGGTGCCCAAAAAATGTCTACACATTTTAAGGAAGGAAAAATCTGTATTAAAATTATAGATGAATCCAAGTCATGTTTGACTTCTGCAGTTACAAGAGGTGCTCCAAGTGGGGGCCTTCAGTGTCCAGACACTTTTGATTACAGCAAACTCAAAGTCATACATAGATAGCATCTTTTAAAATGTGTGTACGTTTTTGGCACCCCCAGTATATGCATATATGTACCTGTGTGTCTATTGATGTATACATAGAGTTTAGCATCTATGTCTAGGTGTACTTGGATGAATTTGTGTATTTTTGCATGTAAACTTTAGTGTGAATGTTATTAATTCAGACTGAATGTTTTCTTAGGCAATAGTGAAGGTGGTTTATCTGAGACTACATGGCTGTAGAATTTCTTATGAGGCCTGCAGGAGGTATCTTACATGCACATGTGCACGCACAGAGTGACATCGCTGTTGTCAAAGAACATCATTCTTGTAAAAGAATGTATTTTGTTGTGTGGCTCCGGTATTATTACTGGTGCTGATAGCTGGCTCCAGCTGATGGTAAAGGGAATTGCCACCCAGGGTGAATCAAGGCATGGGGCCAGCCTCGGTTACTGCCATTGCCAAAGCACTGGCAAATGATGAATTAGAACAACCAGAGGAGATGCAAGCGTGGGCGTCCATGCCTGTGTCTGCCAGCGGGTCCTCGAGACCACAGGCCCCAGACTCAGCATTCACCCAGCCGCTACCGGAGACAGACAAAGGCAGTCCCTGCCCATCCCCCAGGGAGCTACAGCCAGCACCAGGCTGAGTGCATGAAGGCTGTGATGATGGGGCCATCCAATGAAGAGACCTAGTATTGCCATGGGCCTTTCGGGAAGAATGGGCCATTCCCAGATGGCACCCAGGACATAGAGAACACACTAGCCTCTCCACTTCAACCCAGGTTTTTCCCACTAAAAGGTTAGTGGGAGTATGTGTTGTATTCATAGTTAGGTCTCCGAGCCCGTGGCGCTATTTAGATGGTAACAGATTTTGTTGTCATTTTACTCCCATGAAGGGCCATGGCCAACTCTCAGTGCCCAAGCACTCAAGTTAAGAAGCATGCATGTCATTGTTAGTAATGCTGTGATGAAAGAGGTAGCGACACAGATTATAATAGCACTACAGTGCAAATTGTGTCGACTGGCGCTATTAGCGTCCTCGAGGATGCCATCACCACCTTTCCTTGTGGGATAGGCGTGCATCAACCCACACACATGGGTCCAGTTCCGTGGCGAATAGGAATATTGCCTCAACATCCCTATTGTACTAATTCTGGTGCAGGAGCTCTTAGGAAAATGCTCCTATGAAGCCACATCTGACCGACCGTCCCGTTCTCTTCTGTCTGGGTGGTGCTACTTCTCAAGCGTCGAGACCTGGAGGTGTTACAACTTTTATGTAGAAAGGATAATATCCGTGGTGTCAGGTGCCTCTTGTTGAATGACGGGTTGATCCTTTTGGTCATCCGTTGTATAGATGATATTTCTGCAGCTGGAGAAACAGACAACCAAACCAGTCCGTGGCATAGTACTGCCGATGCTACTGGTCTCGTGACTGGGCAACTGGTTAAAGCTGGGTTTTCAGAGGCGGCCTGTTCGAATGTTAGAGCACAGGCCCTGGACTTAGATTGCTTGGTTCAAATTCCCGCCCAGCCCTTCACCAGTTGTGTGATGTGGACGCAGCTTCCTCATCTGTGAAATGGGAATAACAGTACTTTCTACTGAGGTGAAGTTAGATGGGGCATAAGATGCTCAAGGCTCAGTGCTAGGATCAGAGAAACAGTTCAGCGTAAGCTAGGTCATCACCAATCCCCTGTGTTTGGTTGGTTCTGTTCGTCTTGCTTTCTTTGCGCCCGTCTCTGGCCTGTCTCCTCTGTGCCGGGGGCAGCTCCTGGGGGTTGGGACCAGTGACCGATTTATCCCAGAACTTCAGCACGTTGTCTGGGTGCTCATGACTCGTGGGAACGCCACGGGGGGGGGCTGTGCGCGAGTGAAGGGTGGATGGCTGAAGGAGTGAAGTGGACATTTCGCCTTTCAGGGCAGTTAGGTGGCTCTGATCACCCTGCGCCATCTGGACCTAGAATGCGCTTTTCAAAGCCCTCATTTCTTGCTTGCATGCAGTTTCTCATAAGCCTTTGTTATGGGCAGAGGGGTCAAAGGTGCTCATTCCCACGTTGCCCCGTGCACTTCATTCTAAAAAGGAAGATTCTTCTCTACAGTTAAACTAAACCTGTTGACATTGTCTCGATTGTTACTACTTTTTGAACAGGAGAATGTGGAAGAGCTGATGGACTTTTTCCAGGCAAGTAAGAGGTACCACCTAAGCAAGCGATTTGGCCACCGGGAGTACCTGGTCCAGAACCTGCAGGCGTCAGAGACCCGCGTGCAAGGCCTTCTGAGTGCAGCTGAAGCTCAGCTGACCCATCTCATCCAGAAACACGAGAGGTATGCCTCGACCCTGTCCCAGGGACACAAACTGCCTTAGCCTGTGTTCTGCTGTGGCCGCAGACTAACTGCCACGGACTGGGCAATCTTTAAGTAGAAGAGATTTATTCGGCTCACAGTTCTGGAGGCTGGGAAGACCAAGATGTGGTGAGGGCCCCCTGGCTGCTTCATGGTGGGGCAGAAGGGTGTCCCCTGGTGAGGAGTCCGTGTGGGAGACAGGGAGAAAGAGGGTGCCAGGCTCCTGTGGTGACTAACCCGAGCCCTGGATGACAGCGTCAACTCCTCCCTTAGGGTGGAGTCCTCATGACCTAATCACCTCGAAGGGTCCCGCAGCTTCACGCCATGACAGTGGCAGTTAAGGGTCAGCACGAGTTTGGAAGGAGAAATTCAGGCCGTAGTCCTAACAGATCACCTTACCCAAACTTCCTTACCAAAGACCAACGACTTCTGTTCATTCATTGTTGTGCTCTCTGCTCCTTGCTTGTTCTTTTCTTTTCTTTTTTTTTTGAGTTGGAGTCTCACTCTGTCGCCCAGACTGGAGTGCAGCAGCCGCTCTCGGCCACCGCAGCTTCGACCTGCTGGGCTCCGGCCATCCTTCCGTCTCCGCCTGCCGAGTAGCCGGAATTACAGGCATGTGCTACCACGCCCGGCTGATGTTTTGATTTATTGTAGAGATGAGGTCTCGCCAAGTTGCCCCGGAGGGTCTCGAACCCATGGGTTCAGGCAGTCCACTCACCTCAACCTCCCAAGGTGTGGGATTACAGGCTAAGCCACCGAGCCCGGTTGCTTGTTATTCTCTTAGGACAGATTCTTGGCCATACGCAGTGGCTCAAGCCTGTCATCCCAGCACTTTGGGAGGCCGAGGTGAGAGGATTGCCTGAGCCCCCGGATTTGAGAACAGCCTGGGCAACTTGGCAAGACCTCATCTCTGCAATTAAAAAAAAAGAAAAACTAGCTGGGCGTGGTAGCACACGCCTGTAGTTCTGGCTCCTTGGAAGGCTGAGGTGGAAGGATCGCTGGAGCCCAGTGGGTCGACACTGGGGTGGCCGTGAGTGTGCCACCGCCCTCCAGGCTGGGCAACAGAGTGAGATTCTGACTCAAAAAGTAAAATGAAATAAAATAGAAGAAGAAATTCCCTAGGTGTGAAAAGCCTTTGCATTTGGAATTTTAAAAGCATACACGTAGCCAAGACAACCACAGAATGGGCCTCCAGGTGCCCACCGTTCAGCTTCCGCAGGTGTTCACTACCAGCCGTCTTGATGTAGCTCAATGGCCCCAGCCTGGGCTGTTTTGAAGCCGACCCCCAGCGACCTTTCCAGGAGAATCGAGGATGAGGCTCACGTTGACCAGGTGACGGAGCAGCCCACATCTCCTTGCGGTCCAGCACGCCGCTGGCTCTGGCTTCGCCTTTGGCGTCGAGTGTTAAACACAGAGTTGCTTGTCTTGGATCCCAGATGGCTTTTCTCAGCAGCACGCGAGGTACCTGATGGAGCCGCAGAGTTCTCGTAAGTGCAGTCCCTCCACCCTCTGCAGCATTCCTTCTCAGCGGCTGTTTGAGGCGGCTTCGTGGCAAGTGATGAAAGTGACTCCCTTTCGGTGACAAGAAGCTCTAACGTGAACAGAAACATGACCGTGAAGTCGACATTTTTTAGGACAGTCGTGGGTTTTTTATTTGGTTCTACTACTTAGGTAATTTTATTAGGACTTTGCCCCTCTTTTGCTCTGTTTAATGAGGATTCTATGAGGTGCAAATTATGCAAGCACTCCTTGCCCGAATGCTAATGAAGTTATGACTGTAGTTTACTCGGCATTCCTGATTAAGTCGCTCTCAAGTAGAAGAAACAGTTCCTTGCCTTGAATTGAAGTACCCAACAGCAGTTGTGAGCAGTCACCAGGGGAACATGCTTTATCTTTTATTTTTAAATTCTATTTTAAAAGGCTGGCACATCATGACATTTCTGAAACCTGTATCTACTGTTCATTCCTTCACCTCTTCGTTCTGAAATGAATGCAGCCTCCACTGAGAGTGTACCCTGGGCCATACTGGGGACCCAGCCCAGGAATGCAGACAGACTGGGAATAGTAGTGGTGATGGTGGCAGTCAAGTCTACTGGTTAGGGTTCTCCAGAGAAACAGGACCAATAGGAAGAAAGGATATTGATTATAGGAATTGGCTTGCGTGATCGTGGAGACTGAGAAGTCCCACTATCGACTCTCTGCAGCTGGAGACCCGGAAAAGCTGGTGGTGTGATTCCGCCCAATTCTGAAGGCCTGAGAGCCAGGAGAGGCAACGGTGTAAATCTCAGTCCCAGGGCATGAGAAGATGAGATGAGATGAGATGAGATGAGACGAGACATCCCCTGCCCTGAACCATGAGGCAGGAAAGAGGGAGCAAGCACCGCTTCCTCTGCCTTTTCACCCAGTCTGGGACTGACCGTGTTAGACGCTGCCCTTTCCATGTCTGGGAGGACCATCTGCTTTACCGGGTCGCAGATTTAAAGGCCACTTCATTCTGGAAACACTACCACAGACACACCCAGAAGTGTCTCCTCTGGGCCATTCAAGTTGCTACTCAGAATTAATTACACAGATTCCCTCCATTCACCTCTTGGACTTCTCACTCTTCCTGACAGCAGGATTTCAAACCTACCATCTCCTCTTGGAAAATTCCATCTGTACCACAGCAGTCCCTTGGATGTTAGTTTCTCCCAGAACCCTTGCCAATTTCTGCCCTCACAGATGGGTTCTTTCATGTGTTGAGCTTTCTGTACTTACCTGTAATGACACTGACGTCACTCTGATGGTGTTTTGGTAATGTCTTAGCTGCCCATTCTCTTGAGAGAGCAAAGATTTTTCTGATTCAAACCAAACGAATATGGAGATAACCGTTCAGCCACAAGCTGCAGGTGAATTTGGAGGCTGCATTCATAACTTTACTTCTTTTCCATCTAGAGCAGGGTACTTGGATGAAGACCAAACAGAAATGCTATTGGAGCGGGCTCAGACAGAAGTGTTTTCTATAAAGCAGAAGTTGGACCATGACTTAAAGCAGGAAAAGAAAAAGCTCCATCAAAAATTAATAATTAAGAGAAGACGAGAGTTGCTGCAAAAGGTATATAAGGCATGGTGCTGTCTACTCTTTCCATAACCACTTCCAGATACCCACCAAATGCCAGGTACTGTGTCATGCATTGCATCAACATGCTAGGATCAGAAGGGCGGCTGGGCAGGTGTCATGATGTGCCATCTACAATTGATCGGTCGTGACTTGGAATGCTATGTCGAGCAGGATTCTATAGGTCCTTTCCAGCCTCGGCAAGCAGAGGGTCATGGTAAACTCGTTCTGTCTGCATGGGCAAGGAGATAGGAGCGCTGGCTTGAGTGACAAATGATGGTGACAGATGCTAACATTTATTGTTTACTTAGCACGGTGCTCAGCGTGTTATGTATCTTATTCATGCCTTATATCTACTCTATAAGGAAGGTACTACTGTTCTTTGTGGCCAGGATCAAATGTGTAGTAAGTGGGGCCCCGTGGCCTGCATTTGGGAACTCTAAGAACAAGATGAGGCTGGAGCATACAGAGGGACCAGGGCGGGGGCTCGAGGGGGCCTACCCAGGGGACAGAGTCAAGTCAGCGAGGTGGTGTGCCAGGCTGAGGGGGTTCTCTTTCACCCAAAGACAGTGGGGAATATTGACGGATTTTCAAAAGAGAAGAGAGAGATCAACTTTATGACTTAAGAAGCTCTTGTGAGCAGCATGTCGGACAGAGTTGGAGAAGTGTGGGAATACAAATCCTCTAGAAGGCTCTGGTACTTGACCAGGTGAGAGCTGACAGGGCCCTAAACTGACAGCACAGAGCATGGGGGTGGGAGGTGAGGACAGATTCAGAGGATGTGTCCTCCAAGTGCACATGAAGAGTGACACTGAGGGAGTTGGCTGGCACTATTCGAGGGGTTGGGGCGAGGATGCTGAATCATTTTGAATTTGATCAGTGGAAACTCTGCTTTTCATTACCAAGTTTGGGACCCTACAGAAAGCCGTGATTCTGACCTCGGTCGTCGACGCACACCCCATCTTTAAGCATCACCCCATTCATCTCAGTCACTGGTTGAGGGAACAAAACAGAGGGGCCCAAGACCACATTTCCCTGATGGTCTGGCCTGACCCAGGGTTAGTATTTAGAAGGGTGAATGGATTCTAGTTCTTGCAAGGGATTCTGGCAGTCTTCTGTGAATATGCATTCTTTCTCGCAGCTATTTTTGATAACTGTTGCAAGTGGCTTGGAACGAGGAAGTAGCCCCACAACGATAAAAGTTAGGTGCTTAATAAATATTTATAGAGTATGGAATTGACACTCTCTGGTCACCAGGACCCATGGACAACAGTAAGAGCATTTCATGTTCTCTCAAAATAAAACCGAACTGTCTGTAGACACGGTTGTTGTTTTTTTGTTTGTTGGTTTGTTTTTAGTTGGAGTCTCACTCTGTCGCCCACACTGGAGTGCAGTGGCCACTCCCGGCCACTGCAG